GAAGTTTTTCTCTTGGTGTCTTCTTTAAGTGTTTCTTTGAGTGTTTTGGGTGTATTACTAAAAAAGGAAATTTTTAAGAATTTTGAGATTTGCGGGAAAAAGTTTTTTTTTAAAAATTTTTTATATAAAGATATTTATAATATTTAAAAATATAAAAATAATTTTTTTTAATTTTAAATATATTTTTTTTCTAAAAATATTTAAAATTTAAATAGAGTTATGGAACAAATTAGATAAAAACCTATTTCTTACATTAGTGACATGTATGAAAAATCGTGTTTTAGAGGTGATTGATTAAGAGGGGGAAAGCTAGATAATTAAAAGAATTTTTTTAATTAGTAATCATATTTGACTATATATATACAAATTTTCAATAATGATTAATAAAAAAAAAAAGTTTTTTTACTTACTATAAAAAATTTCAGATATTTATGATGCCTACTATATATATATTATTTATAACAAACTTATTATTAAAATATCAAAAAACTTATTTGTAAAGTTATATAATATAATATAATTAATTATTGAATTATAATTAAATATATAATTCTGGTTTTTTTATATTACGTTATATATTAACTTTAGATTTTTATTTTGTTTATAGCTAAAAATAAGTTTCTAAATTAAAAATAAGAATATAATTTAAATATTTCTTATTATTAAAAAAGTTTTTTTTTTAAATAACAGATCAAAAAAAAACCATTTACAAAGATTTTTTATAATTTAAGTTACTTAATTCAAGTGTTTTTTGAATTATATTTCTATTAAAATAATAAATAATTAATTATGTCCTTTTAAAAGGAACATAATTAATTTGTAAAATTGTATATACTAATAATTTAGAGATCTATTCATATTTATAACCATATAAAGACCTGTGAGTCAATAGTGTAGTGGTTAGCACTCCACAAATTAGATTACAAAATACCAGTTCAACTTCATATAAAGGCAGTTGAACCAGATTAAAAATGGTATCTGGCACTATAACTCATTAAGCACTGTTTCTTATAAGAAGCCAATTCACATGCTGATCCAGCGAGTATAGAGATTGTAACCTAGTCATAAAAGGAGTCATAATGTAAGGATCCTAACGATTCTCTTCGATTCTGTATTCGATTCTCAAGTTTATATTAAATTTAATAGGTGGGGTATACCCCACCATCATTTTTAATAGTGTTCCGAACCTCATGCGATTCTGTTCGATTCTATTCGATTCCAATTTTCGGAACCATATCATAATATGAAAATCGTCCAGTTGGTATATGATAATCATCAGAAGATGATCAAAAAAGGTGAAAAAAAAGTCTAGTTTCAAGTAACGATGGTTTGGCGATCCTTCCTCATGATACCTAGGGTGTCTCTTTTTAAAGAAGTAATCATGAAGATCTTTTCTAGGACCACTCTGTCAGTTGTCTCTTCAAGTTGGGCCACTGCAGTAAGACTGACGTTGTGGGTAGTTAGACAGCATAAGTAACCTGACGGTCTGAGTGGCTTAGGAGTAGGTATAGTATACGATATAAAAGATTTCCTCAATAGAATTCTATTCGCTTAAGATAAGTATTACCCCAGTGTGTTACATTTCAACCTCTCTTTAATACTATACAAAAATCCAAATAAAACAGATTAGCATAATTTGCAACACTAATAGGGCTTTGACATGTTAGAAATGGTACCTATCTTTTATAGGATAGCCCAACAGCAACAAGCCAATATGGAAAGTAAAAAATCGATATAGTTATGCGATGTTCTAATTAGGTCATAGATAACATTTCCTGTAATACATAAAGTATATATATGATTCTAAATAATAAAGTGCGCTATGAAAAGGTCCAGCTAGTTGATTAAAATAAAAAAAATAAAAAATTTATAGCCATATAAATTAAAGGTATAATATAAAAAGAATAAATTTTGTTTTTTTGTTTATTTTTTTTATTCTTTAAAATTATATAATTTAATATATCATTATTTATATAGTTTTAAATTAATTTGAATTAAATTGAATTAAATTAAATTAAATCTAAATAATATTTGATTTGATTTGATTTATAATAATTTTTAATTATAATATTAAAATATAATTATAATAAATTTAAAATTCTTAATAATATTTTTTTAATATCAAGTTAGTATTAAATTTATTGCAAGTTGATATTATTATATTATTATTTTGATATCAATTTGGAATTCTAAACAAATTACATAATTGTAATATAATTAAATATTATAATACAATTGTAATAAATTATATAATTATAATATAATTGTTTTAATAATAAAAAATTTAAATATTTTAATTAACTTATAATTTTTTAAAATTTAAATCAAATCAATATTTTTTTTCAATTATAATATAATTTAAAGTTTTGATTTTATAATTAAACAAAAAAAATTTTTTTTATAAATATATTATAAAAAATAATTAAATTAATTATAAATAAAATAAATTATTATTGTTTTTATTATTGTTATATATATAATTAAAAAATTTTATTTAATATTTGTAAATAAGTTTATAGTCTTTATTTTAAAATAAAAAAATAACAACTATTTTATAATTTTTTTTATATAATAATAAAATTTATTTATTTTTTATTTGTAATTTTATAGAGTTATGAAATTTTTGATAAAAATTTTTTTAAAAAATATTTAAATATATAGACTTATTAATATTTGAATTTGATAAAAATTTTTTTAAAAAATATTTAAATATATAGACTTATTAATATTTGAATTTGATAAAAAATTAAATTTTTAAAAAAAAAATTTAATTAAAATCACATATAATTTTATTAACATTAAAAAAATAATATTATTTTAATATTAATTTAATAAAAAATTTTTCATAATAAAAAAAATTTTTTTAATCAATTATCACATGATAATATCCCATGCCGACGTGTATAACAAGGTCTTTGGCTCATCGAGTGTTAATTTATCAAGCACGTAGTATTAGTCTCACTAAATTTGTGCAGAGGAAGATGCCTCCAAAAAAGGTAGTTCAGGAAGAGCGGGTTTTATTGGGGAGACCTGGTAAAAATTTGAAGATTGGAGTTGTAGGTCTACCAAATGTAGGGTGAGTCTTAGGCATAGGTGAGAATAGTTGAGTCGAGGAAGGCTTTGAAGATCGTGTTATCGAATTAGTTTTGTATTATGAGCGATATCTCGATCGCGAAGAATTAACGAACGAAACACAATTTTCCAGTTCCTTTCCTCGTGGTTGTTAATTGCACATTTTCTATTATTAAGCCGATGTTTTATTTTATCATTAGAAAATCTACGTTTTTCAATGCAATCACAAATAGTGCAGCAGCAGCTGAAAACTACCCATTCTGTACAATTGGTTAGTAACAATTAGCATGTAAAATTCATTTTGACATTTTACGCTAATTATGGATTGTGTGTAAGCAGATCCAGAAGAGTCTCGAGTAGCTGTGCCTGATTCTCGATTCGATTGGTTGTGCGATCTATATCAGCCAGCTTCTAGAGTACCCGCGTATCTTACCGTTATTGATATTGCTGGGTTGGTCAAGGGTGCTTCTAATGGGGAAGGTTTGGGTAATAACTTTTTGAGCCATATCCGAGCCGTAGATGCCATTTTTCACGTAGTTCGTATCCTTTTGTTCGAATAAGTATTAGTTAATAAAACATTGGATAGGGCTTATTATTATTATATTTCTCAAATGTTATCATCAAAATAGGTGCATTTTCTGAAAAGGATGTGATTCATGTTGAAGGAGAACTCGATCCAGTTAGGGATCTTGAAATTATTCATCGTGAACTTCGCCTTAAGGATATAGAATTCCTAAGCAAAAAGGTAGAAGATTTAGAAAAGGTGACGGCACGTGTTGGAAAAGGTGGCTCCTCAGCTGATAAAGCAAAGAAGGAAGAATTGGTTTGTGTGATGTTATTACATAAGAAGTTTATCATATTATAAAACAATGAATTCTGAAATTATCATTTTATCTAAATTATGAAGGAAATTACTCAAAAAGTGCTTGATTTAGTGAAAGAGGATAACAAAGATGTTCGAGCTGGACATTGGAATAATAAAGAAGTAATTATATATTGTGTAATGTGTTATTTATTGCGATCATTGAATTAATATAATGTTAAATTTTATAGATTGCAGTAATCAATACTCTACAATTGCTCACAGCAAAGCCTGTAATCTATCTGGTCAATTTAAGTGAAAAAGATTATATCCGTAAAAAGAATAAGTGGTAATTATTTTTCAAATCACTAAAATCATTTACAAGTTGATGACTCTTTAATTAATTCATATTAGGCTAGCAAAAATCAAAACATGGATTGACGAAAACAATCCTGGTGATCTGTTAATCCCAATAAGCGCGTCTCTTGAATATCGCCTCTCGCTTCTTCCCGCAAATGAAGAAAAAGAATCTTTATGTAAGGAGTTGGAGACACAATCGGCTTTACCGCGTATAATTGTAGCCGGATATCAAGCTCTTCAGTTGATTTACTTCTTCACCTGTGGACCTGATGAGGTTAAGGCTTGGACTATTCGGGTTAGTGATATTTCGAAATATTTTGAATTTATTACAATGCAAATAACGCAAACAACTATTGTTGAAATTAAATAGAAAAATACCAAAGGACCACAAGCTGCTGGAGTGTAAGCATTTTCTTGTTGATAAAATGAAATAAAGATTTTTATTAATATTATGGGTGCTTTTTAGAATTCATACGGATTTCGAGAAAAGTTATATTCTTGCAGAGGTCATGAAATTTGATGATCTGAAAGAACTTGGGTCTGAGAACGCGGTAAAGGCTGCAGGAAAATATTCACGTAAGGGCAAAGAATACGTGGTAGAAGATGGGGACATTATTGATTTTCGTGCGGGCCTAGCGAATAAGCATTAGTTAGTACTTTGTAAAATTTCATGAGAAAATTTACTTTAAATTGGATAATTTGGTAAAATTTCAACTTAAGATATGGGTAATTCTTTTCGAAGGTGGACCGGAAGTTTTCTGGTGTGATCCTAAAATTTATACAATATATGTATTGTTTAAAAGTTGAGTCCAAAAAAATCATATCTAGCATTTGTTGCCTTCAAAAATAATTACCCATATAACCAATCAAAAAAAATTGAGATAATAAAACAATCCAACAGTTACACTGTAAAATAATATAATTTTATACTATTTAATTAAATTTTAAATTTTTTAATTACCATATTTTGATATTGTTTTTTTATTGTAATCAAAATAATTCAATTGAAATTTCATTTGGCAAATATATATTGTATATATATAGCAAATTTTTGTATTGGATTTTTTCAATATTATCACATTATTTTATAATATATAATTATTTTGGGTTTTTTTAACAAATAAATATAATTTATTGGTTTATTTTATTATTTTTTTAAGCAAATAAACATTATTTTTTTATTTATTTGTATATTGCATAATATAAATCATGAAAAAAAAATAATATTTTCTATGTGTAAATAAAACCAATAAATTAAAGATTAGTTTTTTACAAAGATAATTAAAAAAAATTTTTTTTTTTAATTGTAACTTTTTTGACAATTTTATTAATATCAAATAATAATAATATAAAAATAAAAACTGATAATATTAATTGTATAAATATTTTTATATAAAAGATAGCAACTAAAGTTTATTAAAATCAAAGTTTACAATAAAAAATTTTTAAATAATCAAATAGATTTATTAATTAAATAAAAAAAAAAATCAAATAAGATAAAAAAAAATATTTTTAATAATTTTAATTATTATATTAAAATAAAATAATATTTAAATTAATAACCTTTTTTTTTTTTGAAAATTTTTATTTCCTTTTTTTTTTTTTACTTTAGATGAAATTTTGCAACAGAATAAATCTGAAATATATATATACAATATGGATCAAAAATAATTGGAAAAAATCAAAACTCATATTTTATTCATAATTTAATAAATAATTAAATA